CACACACACACACACACACACACACCACACAATGTGTAGTAAGCCATTAACACACATTATGGCTGAGATCTGGTTCAGAACCACTTGCTTCTACAGGCATGTAATATAGATTACATTAGAGGTAAAAGCCAGAAAGGAACAGATTTATCTAATTGATGTGGTAAAAGACAAGAGATGAGAATACTCCCTCATTATCCACCTGGGAGCCAAAGGCAGGATAATTTTCTACTATCTATTCTTCAAGTTTAGATCAGAGTCATAGGGAAAGAAATATGAAAGTTGTCTCCATTTAATCTCTGAACTTCAGTGTTAGAAATGAGCTTTGGTATTCTTCCCTCTTCCTATTATATAGCCAATGAGTTAGACGTGTGAAGAATTCTAAAAATAAAATTTTATAAATGAAATTTCTATAAATAAAACATAATTTATACTATATATTTGAATAATATTTATATAAATTATATATTATGTGCAACTTACAAATTATAATTTGTACATGAAATTTCTTTATATGAAATTATTGCTTGAGGAGAAAAGAGAGGACCAATCTCATGGATAGCTGCATGCTCTCATGGAGGGGATTCATAACAACACTGTTCTTTTGCCCACATTACACTCCTTGATCATTGGTGAGAGACAGGCATTGGTACACTTAAATGAATGTAACTCATCTGTTAAAGGGCCACAAACCCTGAAGAGTCACTCTATTATTTTTTGTCCATCCAGACTTATACAAAGGAGCAATCCTGGGTAGAGAAAATTGAAGGGTCTAAACTGAGGGGGTGTAGGAAGATGGAGATGTGAGCAAGGAAGTTTATCAAAACTTTGATTATGTGCTACAATCAGTTTTCCAGTAATAAATCTGGTTTATTACTCCCTAGTTTTGCTTCCTATATGGTTACGTTCTCTCTTTCTTTCTTTTCTCAGTACATGAGTAGAAGAAAGGGGAATTATTTATAAACCTCTCAAAGTCCCAACAGGAAAAACAAAAGTGCTTCAAAACATAGGAAAATTTGACTTACCTCTTGCCATTTCCATTATTTTTGCTTTTTCTCCATGGCTTGTTTGGTAGTCTGTGTGATCATCTATAATAAATTTGGATTTCTCAGAGGAGGAACTTGAATCTTCTCTATTTTGGGGACTTGGTAGACTCTTAGGTAAACACCAGAAAGGCACAGCTGCGAGAAGACTTATGATTCCTGCTATTAGATAACCAAGCCACCAGGCCCCTACCCACTGGGGATCTTTTGGGGTAATGGTTACGTGATCTGAAAGACAGAGAGGACGATTAAGTAATAAATGGCAAGGCTAATGTTTTGAAATAAAATGGATCTTTGCATTAGCTCTATCACATCATAAAATACTTAATAATTCACATATGATTCTCTTTTCTAAGCTGAACACTAATGCAAGCATACCTTGGAGATTTTGCCAGTGTGGCTCCAAACCACCACAATAAAGCAAATATTGCAATAAAGCGAGTTGCACGAATTTTTCAGTTTCTCAATGTGTATAAAACTTATGTTTACATTATACTGTAGTTTATTAAATAATCAATAGCTTTATGTCCGCAAAATGCACATACTTTAATTTTAAATTACTTTCTTGTTAAACATGCTAATGATCATCTGATCCTGCAGAAAGCTGTAATCTCTTTGCTGGTTGAAAGTCCTAACTTTATGTTGATACCTGATGACAGATGAAGGTGGTAATTGCTGAAGGTTGGGTGACTGTGACAATGTCTTAAAATAAGACAACAATGAAGTTTGCTGCATCAATTAACTCTTCCTTTATGAAAGATTTCTCTGTAGCTTGTGATGCTGTTTGATAACAGAACTTCTTTCATACAGTATAACTTCTTTCAAAAATGGAGTCAATCCTCTCAAACCCTGCCACTGCTTTTATCAACTATGTTTATGTAATATTCTAAATTCTTTGTTGTTATCTCATGATGTTCACAACATCTTCACCATGAATAGATTCCATCTCAAAAAAACAACTTCTTTGCTCATTCATAAGGAGCAATTCTTCATTCGTTCAAGTTTTATGATAAGGTTGCAGAAATTCAGTCACATCTTCATTTCTAGTTCTAATTTCACTTTTTTTTTTTTGAGTCAGAGTCTCACTGTATCACCCAGACTGGAGTGCAGTGGCCTGCTCCCGGCCACCGCAGCCTCGACCTGCTGGGCTCCGAGGATCTTTTCGCCTCAGCCTTCCGAGTAGCTGGAATTACAGGCACGCGCTACCATGCCCAGCTGGTTTTTTGATTTATTGTAGAGATAAGGTTTCGCCAAGTTGCCCAGGCAGGTCTCAAACACGCAGGCTCAGGCAATTCACTCACCTCAACCTCCCAAAGAGTGGGATTACAGGCTGATCCACCGAGCCCGGCCTTATCACATCTTTATTTACTTCTTCCATGTAAATCTTGAATCCCTCAAAGTCCTTCATGAGATTGGAATCAATTTGTTTAAAACTCTTGTTCATGCTATTATTTTAACCTCTTCTCATAAATCATGAATATTCTTAATGTAATCTAAAATGATGAATCTTTTTTAGAAAGTTTTTCACTTGATTTGTCCAGATCCATCAGAGAAATCACTATCTATGGAAACATTAGTCTTATGAAAATGTATTTCTTAAATAGTAAGACTTGAACATCATAATTTCAACTTGGTCTATGGGCTTCAGGATAAATGTTGTGTTAGCAGTCATAAAAAAAAATCTTCTTTTTAGTATGTCTCCCTCAGAGCTCTTGGGTGACCAGGTGCATTGTCAGTGTGAGAAATATTTTAAAGGTAATATTTTCTGAGCAGTAGTTCTCAACAATGGGCTTAAAATATCCAGTAAACCATGCTATGAACATTTATGCTGTCATCTCACCTTTGTTGTTCTATTTATAAAGCACAAGTAGAGTCAATGTAACATCATTCTTAAGGGCCATAGGATTTTCAAAGTGGCAAATGAACATTGACTTTAATTTCAAGTCACCAGCTACATTAGCTCCTAACAAAAGAGTCAGTCTGTCCTTTTAAGCTTGGAAGTCATTGATTTCTCCTCTCTAGTAATGAAAATCCTGAATGGTATCTTCTTCCCATGTAAGGCTATTTCACCTGCAGTTTCATCAATATTGCTTATTGCAACTTCTTTTATCAGTTGTATTAGCTAGATCTTTCGAATAACTTGCTGTAGTTTCTATATTAGTAATTTCTGCTTCACTTTGCAATTTTTTATTATGAAGACAGCTTCTCCTTAAACCTTATGAACCAACATCTCCTAACTTCAGACTTTTCTTCTGCAATTTCTGTGTTTCTCTCAACCTTCATGGAATTAAAAGAATTAGGTCATCGCTGTGGATTAGGATTTGGTTTGAGAACATGTGGTTGGCTTGAACTTCCACCTAGACCACTAAAACTTTCTTCATCTCAACAGTAAGGCTGTTTTACTTTCTTAACATTTTTGTGCTCACCGGAGTAGCACTTCTAATTTTCTTCAAGAACTTTTCCTTTGCATTTACAACTTGGCTAACTGGTGGAATAGGCCTAGATTTTGGCCTTTGTGGGCTTTCAATATGCATTCCTCACCAAGATAAATCATTTCTAGCTTTGGAGCTAAAGTGAAAGATGGGTAAAACTTGCTTTCACCTTAACATTTGAAGGCCATGGTAGGTTATTAATTGGACTGATTTCAATGTTGTGTCTCAGGGGATAGGGAAGCCCAATGAGGAGAGAGATGGGGAAATGGCCAGTAAGCGGAGCATTCAGAATACATATAATATTTATTGATTAAGTTCATCATCTTATATGGGCACAGTTCAAGGTGTCCCCAAACAAATCCAATAATAACATCAACTATTACAATAGTAACATCAAATATCACCAAAATGTGACATGGAGACACAAAGTCAGCACATGCTATTGGAAAAATGATGCTGATAGACTTGCTCAACACACGATTAGTACAAACTTTCAACTGATAAAAAACACAGTTTCTGTGAAGCACAAAAATAAAGTGCAATAAAATAAACTATGCCTCTATTATCTTTCTTATTGAAGGAAAATGTTTTGGGAGCAAGATACTTTTTTCTTTTGTTCTTTAGATTAAAATACAGAGTCTAAATTATGTAAGAGGCCTTATGATTTTTAAACTGCTCTGGGGTTCAACAAAGGGACCCCTGGCAAAAGGAAAGCAATACACGATGGGGAATTTTGAAGGCTTCAACCTCACATTCCAGCTACTCCATATCAGCACAGCTTTGATTTGATTGCATGTTGAACATTTATCTAAGATTTTATTACTTGAAAAAAGAGTTATGCCCTATACCCTCCAGTTCGAACCTTATGTAAATTTAAAATTCATTGAGGTTTCATTAGTGGAATTTTTGATTAAATGTTGTTTAATAATACTTTAGAGCTATTCAAGGTCTGAAGCAGTATTTGTATATGTAAATAAAACAAATATCTAACTCATCATGAAAACTTTAAATTTTTGACACCATTTCTCATTCTCAAAGTAAGCGTTGACAGCTTTTTTCCTTAAATCAAACCAAGTGAGTATATTTTTCTTCTGTATAAGAACCTCTAAAACTATACTATACTATACTATACTATACCCTCTTCTACCAAACTCTGTGAGAACAACAAAATAAAGACATATCCCTCGACAAGGAGGCTCTACTGTCATTGCATTATACTTGGTAACATATTTATACGTGTTTAATCACTGCATGTTAATTGCTTCCCCTTAACAATTTTTCTCCATGCTGTTTATCACACCTATACTTCCTTGTCCATATCAGCCTCCAACGCTGGATTTTAAACTTAATTATTTTGTTTAGTGCCATAGAATAGCATGTGAAACAAAGTAATTGCAAAATTATTTTGGGGGGTCATGAATGAGTAAATACAACTTTTGAAATATGTCTTGCAGTTTATTTGCTTTAAAAATGCAATAATTTTGCATTCTGTTTTAACATAAAAACTTAAAATGCAATACCAGATTTTTTTAAGTGAAATTTGTTTCCTTGTCTGTAATTGATTTCTTGGGCTTCTAAAAAAGAATATATACACAGAGATAAATACCATCTATTTCTAGGAGGTACATTTCACAGGGATAGAAACAAATTAAAAGTTATGGAAAAATCAACACCCTCCCCCAGACCCCACCGTTTATTTCCTACATAAGCAATCTCTCAGAAAGAAAGCCAGTCTTACCTCCACCTAAAATGACTTGTAAAGTAAAAAAAAACAAAGAAAAGAAGTTTAGTTGCCAGTAGACTTTCAATCTTTAGCCTTTCTGTCAAGTCCCCAGATACATTATCAATTGACGTAACTATGATAAATGTTGACACACCTGAAACCACCAGGAGACAACAAGTAGCCACAGTTTTCATTCTTAACTATGCTGAAATGCATTTGAACTGGCAAATCAGAAGTGAAAAAGGATACACCTTAATAACAAGCCTCGGGTCCTACAGTTATAATCACCACCTATTTTTCATATTCTACTTATTAAAGCATGTGATGATTAGATCAATAATAAGATTTCCATGGATTATTTTCATTTTATGAAAGATTGCTACCCTGTCATTTTATTAAAAAGGCAGTTTGATATTTTCCACACTGTTTTCATCAAAATGTTACAGTAACTAAAGTAAATGAATAAATAAAAATAAATTCCCTTACCTAGGTTTACAAAGCCAATGTCAACATACAGTTTGGCACATAATGAACCTAACAGGAAGCCAAAGATTGGTCCTATAATTGCAACCGTCTGCACACACCCTGCACCAAGAAAAGAAAAGGAAAAAAAGAAAACACTGCCGTTTCTTTGCTGTGATAAATTAATACAATTTTAAACAAGAAATGTGAGTGAGATCCAGTTAGTAGTTCAAAATGTTTCAACTACTCATTTTCATGTGTTTAATTTGTCAGTTCTTCAACCACACTAAATCAAGAAATATGTGCTCCTCTGCTTTGGGAGAAGAATGAAAGCTTTTAAAGCATTAATGACCTCTTAGTAAGAAAGTATCACTAAGACTTTAAAGAAGTTAATTTCCCCAAATGGAGCAACCTTTATTCCCTAGGATTAGGTTGCCACTGATAGGTTGCCCACTGATACAAATTGTCATTGCACTAATTTTGATCATCTTTCAAAAATCTATTATAGTCAGTTAAACATAGACTTGTCTTGACATTCAGATTGATTTCTTCCAACTTAGTGAAAAACTACTCATTTGATCTGAAGTTCTGTGAGATTATTTGTGAAAGCAGGCCCTCTGCAGCTTCCTGGATATAGTTAGCAAAGGTGCTGGACTTTGAAGCAGGAAAAGTGCTCTCTGGAACCCTCATGACCAGCCAGGTCAGTCTTTACAGGGAAATAGAAAAGATGGCCTAAGGGACACCATTTCTAGTAACCTAAAAGGTAGCTCTTCCCTGCAAGGTACCTCTCATCTGCCTTTCATTTCACCATAGAGCCTAAAGCACACATAATTCTTGGAGATCAGTTTAAATTTACTGGAGAAGTAAATAGCAGTTACCAGATCCTTTTCAGAATAGAGGGCAAAGAGAGCAAGCGCTGAGCTCCTGGAGAGGAAAGGGGCACTTAGACACCTGTGTGCTTCTTTTGACTGTGATCTTTCCTCGTCTCCAGAGTAATTGGCCAGTGTATGTGATGGAGTGTTTGTTCCAGTTTCAATTCCTGATCTATACTGGAGTTTCCTGTTACAACAAGAGCTCTGTTCTTAACTATCACCTACTTGGGTATAACCAGAACACCCCAGAATCCTGCAAAGCCAAAGCCAGGGCAGAATTAGATAGTAGATCTAGCTGGAGCCCCTCCTCAGTGAATCTAAATCTTGCTCCTCTGTTTCTAAAGGTGAGACCTTCAAAAGACCAGAACTCCAAGAAATCAAGACTGACATATAAAACAGAGAACAAGTCTTATTCAACCCTGAATCTCTACTTTCTAGCTTAATACCAGGCACCAAATGCTGCTTAGATGCATCTGAGTTTGAAAGTTTGCCTTTACTATATATTTTTGTTTTTTCTGCTGGTCTATTTACTGGAACCTATTTCAGAGATGAGGTAGCCTCAGTCTTGCTCCATTTTTTAAATGCTTTTCTTTATACATCCCTACCTGCCATTGAATTCCATATTGTCAATCCCTCAAAGGAAAAAAGATGCTTTAAATAATCAGGGTTTGTAAAATGGAAAGCAGTTTCTAAGGCTCTAGAAGCAAATTTTTAAGAAATTAAAATGCCTAAATGCTTCAGCAGTACAGTTAATTCACTAAAAAGAAACAGTGAAATCTGAAGTTCATGAAGATACTTTCACAAGACCATATATCATTGCAGTTGACCTCACAGTTATTTCCTTTTAATTTGGTGTTTCTTTCCTAATGCAAAGGTCCTTCTAACTGGGTTTCTTTATCATCCAAATCTTAAGTGTACATGTCAGAAATATGTGAGCTAGATAAAGGAGTTGAGTATGAAGGATAAAACCTTCCACACTCAACTTAGTAAAGAGTAGAATTGGAGAAAACTAGGCACCCTGCATCCCAAGAAGATGAACAAAGTAATCAATGAATGTTACCAATATAGAAAGCTGCATTGTCTTCACTGGAAAAGTCATCCAGGTAGGCAATGCCTAGAGGCTGAATGGGAGTTTCTCCTATTCCACGAAGAAGATTTCCCAGGAAAACATAAATCCACATGGAGGAGCTAGCGTCAACTTCACATTCTTGAAAGAAAAGCAAACAAGAGGATTGAAATTAGATCACTAACAAAGTTAAATATTCTGCATTTCTGCAATGTGTCCTAAAACTGGATTCGAATGCAAAAGTTCTTACAATAATCATAATTTGATGGGAGTTAGATAAGTTTGGAAAGTGTTTTATAACTTCAATCTTTTAGGCAGGGTAAATCCTCTAGGGACTTGATCAAGGAACTCTATATTTCTTGCCCCTGTTCCCCTTGATTTTTATTTTCTCTCTTCTTCTTTCTCTCCTTTTCTGTTCTATAGCTATTTGAATTTTCACACTCTAATACTATGCAATATCCTATCTGTGAAAAAACAGAAAATTTTAAACAACTACCTCCTCACCTTAATTTTTAGACTTTTTTATTGTTCAGCAGAAATCACAAGTAATCTTATTGTTGATCAAGTTTTATCTAACACTCAAATTTTTATATGGTTGATACTCCGACATTGGGTAGTATTGCCTACATTTACATGTGTTTGTTAGTGAATGACCATTTTTAGAACTCTGGAAACAAATTCACATAAAAATTATAAACCTTATATGCTTTAGTAGTACAGCTATTCCAACAAAAATAAATTTTTGACAGTAGTCTTAGTGTAAAATTGAAAGATATCAATTTTAAAATGCTTTCATAAAAGTCACATCTTACTATGATCATGTGAAGTAGGTTAACTACCTTCATAGCATAAATTAAATATATAGCTTTAGAGAGCTTAGCTACGTTAATAAAATTGATAGTGTTAATAGCTTCCAACAATCACCAATTTTGAATGCTCTTTCTCTGCCACCTGCTGGGCTAGGTGGCTAGAAGGCATTTGAAAAGTACATTTTCTTAACAATCATATGAAGTAACAGTTATATTCACCTATTAATAATGCTTAAGGTAATTTTTTATTGTGAAGTGTGGATTATGTGAAGAACCAAGGTGAACACCTTTGGGCATAACATAAAAGAGTACTATGTGATCATGTGGATTTTATCCTGATTCTGCCTCTTCTAGAAAAGTAGCCAAATGACTACGAGATTTTCTCTTACCTTCTCTAGATTTCTATTCTTCTACAAAAAATATGATGTACATTTTTTTACTAAAAATTAACTCTAATAATAATTCTAGCCCTTGCAATTGTATAATTTTAAGAAGCTGTTAGTAGGTGAGTCTTGTAGCAAGTAAATATAGACACCTTATGTCTGTGCTTTTTAATATGGTATCCACAAACCACATGTGACTATTAAAATTAAATAAAATCTAAAATTCAGTTTTTATGTACACTAGCTATAATTCAATAGTTACATGCTATTGATCACTTTAGTGGTTAATATATTGACAGCATAGATATAGGACATTTCCATCATCACAGAAAGTTCTGTGGTCAGCTCTGTTCTAGAGTGTTATAGAAGAGATTGAGGATTGTGAGTGGAGCACTTTTGAGAAGATCCCTATCCTCATCTTTAGAATGTGGCTTGCCTGTTTGAGAAGATCTCTCAGAATCATTTTTATAGTGAATCTTGTATCCACTATGTCTAAAGAAAAGGACTTTAAGGGAGTGGGACCTCACCTAAAGGGAAGGAAAGAATTGGGTTATGAGTCTTAAGTTCTTATCTATCTGGTAATTTTTCTTTTTATTAAAATATGTAAGACCAGGCACAGTGGCTCAACCCTATAATCCCAGCACTTTGGGAGGCTGAGGTGAGAGGATTACCTGAGCCCAGGGGTCTGTGACCAGCCTGGGAAACTTGGCAAGACCTCATTTCTACAACAATAACAACAAATTAGGGAGTCATGGTGGCATGTGCCTATAGTACCAGCGACTTGGAAGGCTGAGCAGAAGGATTACTTGAGGTTGAAGCTGCGGTGGGCTTGAGCCTGCCACTGCACTCCAGCCTGGGAGACAAAGTCAGACTCCAAGTCAAAACAAAAAAATTAAACTCTCTGACTCTATTTTTCACTTTTTACATTATAGGTTTAAATATCTTTTAACTAGTATTGTAGTTTGTATCATGTCTGTTCCAATTGTAAAAAACAAAACACCTTCACTGACAGTACACTGTGCACAGATGAAACTCCTGACTCTTTATATTAACTTAAATTAAATGTATTATCCATTCATTGTATTCTTACATAAACAAGCCCTCTGTTATTGTCCATTGGGTTGTAAGTGTCCTCCTGAACATATCTATTACTCTCTTACACATTTTCCTCTTCTTCTAAAATGCATTTCTTCTTCTTTTTATATAACTGGAAAGGCTAAATTTGTTACACTTTTATGTTCTCCCCAGCCCTCTCTTCCCCCTCATCCCCATATTTCTTTTAGTCCCTTGGCTTTTCCTTTCATTTGAATAGCCAGACCTCTAGTAATCATTGCCTAGGGAAAAGACATCTCAACAAAAATCATTAACGAGAATATTAGAGGAGTAAAAAGGGTTCATGGAATAGATAAAAGACTTGGATGGGTGGGGTAGCAGCTGTAGAAAAGGAAGATCCCATTCTGCCTGTATAGAAATCAACTACCCAGGTTAGGAGCAGGGAGTGAAATTAGACGGTGGCAGGGAGGGGATGTAGAGCATACTAATGCTGAAGGGAAGCTGAAGAGAGAGGCAAAGATTTGTTCTCCCTGCCTGAAGAGTCCTAGAGATATGGCAAATATCTGTGAATAAATTTGTGGATGCTATAAGCAAGAAAAATCTGTGTCATCTTGACCAGGGAAAGCCCAGAGAGGTAGCAAGACTTTAGTTATGAAATGGTTGCATAGTATACTTCTGTATTCTTGCCTTTGATTCTCTCGGGACTTCTAATACTTAGAGAGACACAGAAGAGATGATTCTCATGTTTCCAAGAGTGGCTCATTGCTGCACCATAGGTGTCAGAATGCTAGACCCTCTGACAAAATTCCTGTATCCTAGCTCATGTGGAAAGTAGAATGATTTCCATGCATCTAAGATTGCTACTTCTGTACCAGAGAAAGTTGCTGTACTAAAAAGAATATGAGCATGAACATAAGATAGTTCCATGGTGACATATATGACCAAACACTGTGACCACAGGGTTTTAGATATCTGAGTTGGCAAGGAACTAATAGCACCAGGATCCCCCAGCAAAACTGACCCCCATTACTTTTTGTAAGCTCCCTAGAATGTAAGCAACTCTCAGGAAAAAAGATGGAGGTTAGGGACAAATTGGGATTAAGTTTTGTCATTCTCATGAAAACAGGTAAGCATAGATATTAAGTTGACTTATGGCAAAAAAATATATATTTCATTCATATCTGAACAGTAAACTGAGATTTGTATGTGCTACACTAGTTTTACCCAGCTTTCAAGGCCCACTTATTCGGAACTACTGGAAGATTTTTCCCAGTATCCAGAATTAATGTTCTTATTTCCATAAGATTTGAATATCTGTATATTTTCTTAGGCTTTCGTCATATACTGCTTTATAGTCCAGAAATTTTTATGGCACTAAATAATATCTCAAGTAATAATGCTTTTGAGAGCAAAACTCAGAGATATTTTTGCCCATACTAAAGCACATATAAAGTCTTAAAGAGTTTGCTAAGTCAAATTTTTAAAAAATTATCTTACCGTTATTTATTTTGGATTGTGATTTTTCCATAACTGAGATTGGTATTTGACTGCTTGACTCTAGGAGACACGGAGAGATGCTGAGAGTAGAATTGGAGAAAGGAGAATACTTCTCATATCTGTACCTGTATAAAAGAATGTTTTCTTCATGATGAACTCATTAACATCATGCTAAAATTATTGTATATGCTACATGATTCATTAGGGTGCCTTGTTACGCTTGAAGCTATCTCTGAATCTGAATTACCAAACTGAACCAGCATGTAGCAGCTGAGTTTGCTAAAGAGAAAGTCAGAATATCTGGTTCATAGACCACCATACCCGGGCCAGTCAATTAGTGAAAAAAATTAAAGGTAAGACTTATTCACAGTGATTCATTTTAATATAAAATAATGGGTATAAATCACCTACTTCCTTGGTGAAAATGTATCCAACACTTGATAGAATCATGATTATCTATGACTTAGAGAAAAGACAATAATTGAACAATTTAGGGCCATCAGCGCAATGTCTTTTGAGTTGTAAATTTATAGAACTGTAAGGCTGATTGTAGAGAATGGATAATGATACGTGGGCTTTTGAACCATTTATCTAGATGGTATTCTGCTTTTTCTCCACAGTTTATTAATCTGAATCCGAGTTATTTTGAATTGCCACCCTTTTCTCTGTTTATAAGGTAATGATGGTTGTGGTGGAACTGTGATAACGCTATCTACAATCACCCAGATCTACTTTTACATTCAAATTATCCTTCATGTGTATGGTTTCCTGTTCCTTTTGGAGTTCTATATCTCCAGGGAAAAGATATCTAGTAAGAAGATATCACATCATCTTGATTCTCATTTTGTTCAAGCACTAGTGACCAAATGCTAGTGATCACGGTAATGTATTTGGTATGTTAATGGTAAAAGTCTGTTTATTCAGCATGTTAACAAAATGATACAAAATATTCAGGCTGATAAATGGGTTACCTTACATCTGTTTTGTATAACCTATGCTTCAGTGGGTCCATGAGCCCCACTAAAACCGTAAGAACATTTTTGTATGTACGTTTATAATGTATGAATGTTTAAGGGAAGAGATTCACAGTTTTTATTGTTTTATCAAATGGTTCCTTGACAAAAATAGGTTAATAACCACTTAATGAGGTTAATTGTTTGCAATTTTTAACTACACAGGAGAACATTTACCATTAAAATCATGGTAAATATAATTTCTGTGAATAATTACAGAGATCTCATGGACTATTACAATGCCTCAAAGCTATTAATGTGAGCATCGATGGTAATTATGTAGTATTTTGAACAACTTTAATTATTTGAACTTTCTCAGTTCTTTCTGTCAAAATATAACTATTGCAGGCATCATAATTATCTTAATTTTGAATAAATGAAATCTTTTGGCAGCACCACTTTCGTCACTAGCTACTATCTGTGACACTAAAAAATAATTAACCTTTAGGTTTCAATTTTCTTAGTTGAAAACTGAGAGCTATAGATGTGACTTGTACCTATTTATACTCTGTTGGATGAAGAGACAAAGAAGTGATTGAACAGGGGACCAAATAGTATAGATGTTTTTACACTAGGGGCTTTAGTTCTGGCCTGCATTGAAATCCCCACTGACACTCTCTTGATTGTGATGCATAAAATTCAACAGTAGTCCCCTAAATAGTATCCTAGCTTCAAAGCTGGGCCCACAAGAGTCAATTTTCAAGCACCAGTCAGTGATTTTTTTTTAAATATAGTTCAGGTCGTGTCACTCTGCTCAAAACTCTCCACCAACTTTCCATCTCATTTAGAGGAGAAGCTAATATCCTTGCGATTGGTTTAAACTTACAGATCAAAGGATGGTCTACAGACCAGCAATGTCAGCTGAATCTTAGCCCCAACCTCAGGGCTACTAAATCACAGTCTGCATTTTACAAAGACCCCCAGGTAATTCAAATGTCAGTAAAAGTTTGAGAAATACCTTTGACACATTCTCCTATTCCCTTTTACTTCCCATAGTGTACCTTCTTTTGCTTCCTTCTCACTCATTCTACTTTAGCCACACAGGCCTCCTTGCAGGTCATCCATGCAACAGCCTCCCTCCTGCTTCAGGACCTTGGCATTCACTGCTCATCTAGGCTAGAAGTCTTCTTCCCCAAATAGCTTAATGGCTCTCCCCTTTACTTTCTTCAGATCTTCCTGAAATACCATGATCTCCCTGAGATATACCTTGACTATCCTACTGTAAATTACAACAACTCCCCTCACACACACACTCTTTATGTGTCTTCACTGGGTTATTTTTTCTCAAGTTCTTATCATTACCTGATAAATTATATTTATTTGTTTACTTTCTTTTCCCTCCTCATAAGATCCATAAGGACAGAGATTTTTGTCATTACACTATCCCCAATATCTAGGACAATGATCAATACATATTGTATTTGTTACATTCATGAATTAGATGACCAAACACACATAAAGCTAAGTAGTACAGCCTGCTGGAGGTAGGCCCTCAACAATTGCTATCACGATTAACAAATTTTGTTGTACATTAAGAGTATTTATGTGGGTAACCCCCTCAGGTCCCCTCTCACTCTAGGAGTTTTTTTATCCTCTCAAAAAATCCTGCATTCTAAAAAAAAAAAAAAAAAAAGTGTTTATGCTGAGGAGACAGAATATAGTCATCTTTTAGAGAATAAGAACCTCATTTTGGATAAGTACCCAATTGGTGACTAATGCTGTGAAAAACTGAAAAGAAATTACTATGATGATTTTCAGTAAAGAGCAAACTTCTTGAAGAAAGAAATTGTGTGTGCGTGCAAGTGTTTTATTTTGTTGTGTTTTCTAACTGAAATGGTACCATTACCTAGCCTAGTAGCTGGCAAGTGGTAGACACTAAAAACCAAACAAATATATCCTCCAACATAGAAAAGGTAGTGGACAAAAATCTAAGTCTCTGTCCCTTGTCAGCACTAACTTGGCTGACTAACCTTCTCATAGATACACTTCTTTCACCGATTTTCTTGTATGAGCATTCTATATCTGTCATTAAGTTGAAGTGATTAAATTATCCATCTGAATACCACAACTTTAAGACAAAAACAATTGCTGGTTAAAACCAGGTAGCTTAATTAGCTAAGGAGGATTGATCAAAACAATGATGACACAGTTAAAAGTTATGTTGGGAACTTTAATAAGCATTTTACCTGTGTTATCTCAATATTTGCAACAACATAGTGAGCTAGGTATTACTCTTTTTTTTTTTTTTTTTTTTGAGTTGGAGTCTCACTCAGTCGCCCAGACTAGAGTGCAGTGGTTGCTTCCAGCCACCGCAGCCCCGACTTGCTGGGCTCTGGCGAACCTTCCGCCTCAGCCTTCCAAGTAGCTGGAACTACAGGCGCGCACTACCACACCCGGTTAATTTTTTTGATTTATTGTAGAGTTGAGGTCTCGCCAAGTTGCCCAGGCGGGTCTCGAACCCGTGGGCTCAGGCAATTCACTCACCTCGGCCTCCTAAAGCACGGGATTACGGGCTGAGCCACCGATCCCGGCCGGTATTACTTTTAATATCCCTTTTAAGATGTAGAAACTGAGGCATAGAAAGGATAAATCACATACTCAAGAAGAGCTACTGATTTAGAGGGAGGTCAGAGTCACGTATTTATCTATCCTCTGCAACTACTACTTTCAAATTTTTATTTTTTTTTAGTAGTGGAATTATTTTCCCCTGGGAAAATTGTTTCATAGAGGCACAATGAATCAGACAACAGTGGCAAAGCTATGAATCAAGTAGGGAATAGACAGTTTGTAGACCCATTTCCTCAGCCTTCTCCTTTCCCTCCTCCTTCCACTAAACCCTTTGGAAGAATCTGTGATCCAAAGAAACTTCTGCCCTGTAGAAGGAAGCCAGAGAGTTGTCTACGTAGCAGGCAAAAGTCCCCAAACCACAGATCCTCCTCCAAGTAAAAATTAAAGATTCAGATAATTCATCCAAGTGAGTAGGGAAGCTCCCACTCAGAGGATCCTGTGCCCTACCTTTATGGTTTGGCCAGGGAGGTCAAAATATGATTGTAGTTACATAAGTGATTTTGGAATTTTAGAAATAGTTCAGACCAGATCATTTCTATGGCTCTCCAGCTTTAAAATGTTATGATCTAAAGTGGACAATAATCAAAGTGTCACTTGATAGGCAATTTTCTAAAATATTGTCTTGCTTTGAAACATTTTGGTAGGCATTTCACTTAGTTGACAAAAGGTAAAAACACAGAGAAGGGAGGCAGCATGGAAAGCCTTCTAAAGAAAGTCTGAAAAGGCAGAAGACCTGACAGAGGGTTCTGCTTCTATAATTACAAGCCACCAAACCTTGAAAAAGTCACTAAACTCTTCAAGTCAAGGGGTCCTCAGCTCTAAACTGAAAAAAATTACAGTAAAGTTCTGCTACTCTGTAGGTTGTTGTAAGGGTACAGATGATATAGTAAAGGTGAAAATCTTTGGAACTCCTATAATTGTGTGAAGGTACTAATGAAAGTACTAACAACAGCAACAAAAGTAGACCTTAGAGTTAGAGGCTACAGATACCTCTCTCTCCTCCATTGATAAAGGACCAAGAGATACTGTTTGAACATTGAACAGTTGTTTGAGTTGATTATACACCCCTGAGTCAATTATCTGCCAGCCAGTGTACTGTGATCCAGTATTTATTACCTGTAGCATTCACTTGTTACTCTTTTGACATTTACCACGTTAATTTCTTTTCATTTGTATATTTTGTTTCCTTACCTAAATTAAAACATTTGACTCAAAACATAGTAAAAATTTTTCTTTAATCTTAATGATATCAATATAGTCTGTCAAAATATTTTTTACAGATTATTGTCACAAGTAAAATTATAAAAGTATCCTAAAATTGTATCAAAGAGAGTGAATTAAAATAAGACAAAAATTATCATGGGTTTGGCTTAAATTGAAATAATGGTTATAAAAGGGAGAAATTCAGTTGTTTGATAAGGCAAGAGAAAGATGATTGCTTTAGACTTACTGCTCCATGAAGAACTGAGGCATTGCAATGAGCAATGTTCCAACTCCCATGATCAGGCACCCTGCTCCAATTATTTTTGGTCTGTGAAGTTTGGCTCCAAAGTAGCTAACAAATGTTATAACTAAGAGATTCCCTTTGGAGGAAAGAATAACACATTCATAAGTTGAGAACTTAGAAAAAAGTCAACAGCATAACCAAATGAGTGTATGTATTATATATGCAGATATAGCAATGGTTTTCTTTGACTAAACTCTCTCTCCACCATCCTTTTTTTCTAAATCTGAGATGACTCCTGAAGTTGTCTTCATACTCATCATTTCACTCACCTCATTCCTTGGTCAAAATTTTAATACCACCTCTCCTGCCTCATTTTACTCAATCTATGTATTTGTCCTTTTGAAGTATTTTATCAGCTAAGCATACTATAGTAGGCTTCCTAAAGATGCTCTTTTAAATATTCTTCGGTAGTTTTGAAGCAAACTTCCTTATTGTGTCTTCATTCATTCAAGTTTTTTACTAAAACTTTTATTAGTTTTCCAATTGCTCATGATGTATACATCACAAATTCTCTTTTTAGTTGATATCCCCTATAGAAAAAGTAGACCAAACACAGCTGTATTTCATGTTACATGAAATAAAATGATGAGACTATATTTACACAAATGATACTTTATAATTTGTTTATAAACCTTTACAGAAAATACTCAAAATAGAAATAAAAATTATTACACATAGACAACTTCAAGTATATATTAATATATAACCCCAGTGTTAACACAAATTTTATGAAATATAAAATATGTCCATCTATCTCTTTTTGAAAAAAATAATTAATGAATATGGGGCTTTTGAAGATAGGAATTATGCCTTTCTAAAATATCTCTAGTGAAGCATGTGAAACATTACTTTTAGTTGATGATGGTGACAACTAATTAGACATGCTTTTGGGAAGATTCATCATGCTTTTGCTGTGCTTTATAAAAATTGATGAAAGGGGATAGTAAGGGAACTGGAAACTTGTTTAAAATGTAGGTTCTTGATGGGTCCCAATAGTTTCTGATCCATGGATTTGGGAGCAGGCCAAGAAATCTGCATTTGTAATACTAACTCAAGTATGTTGACAGGGGTGGTTTCTGGAACATGCTTTGATAAATATTGTTTAGGATCGTAGATTCCAAGAAGTTTTAAAGACTTAGCTACTTTTATTTGACATATTTAGTTGTTAAGAACTATAGTGCTAGAGAGAATAAGAGCTTAATTTCCAAGGAACTGATTGTGAAAGCTGATGGGTAGCTTTGCTTTGAAGTTCTCCTCAATGTTTTCTAGCAAGAGTGTGTTTCCCTACATCTGTAAGCAATCATCTAATTTACTACTACTGTTCAGTCATATTGCCAGTTTTAGTCAATTGGAAAAAGAGTAGTAATTTTTATAGCTTAGAGGATAATAATCATGATAGTGAGAAATGTAACTCACACAGAGGCTCTAGTCTTTATGGCTCGAGGAAGAATTAAATTCTTCTTAATGTTCATATTTAAAAATAATAATTAAGCATGAGATTTCCCACTTGACATTTATCAAAGTTGACATTATATCAATAAGTATATCTATACTTTTGTTAATGTACCACAGTAAGTAAATCAAAATAAAGTGAAAGCTGACTTTCAGTTTACAGGCAATCCCCTCCCCCATCCAACTACATTCCACCAGCACCACAAAATAAAGAATATGTATTTACAAGCTGTTTCTGTGCTACATTAATGAGAAAGTCAAATACAAGATAATACAATTTTAGCATCTGTGCTACTATGGAAGTTTTTGCTTCCTTTATTCAGTATCCTTTCTGAGTTCTCAGAAGATACACCTTGAAAATAAATGGTGATAAATCATGTTTAAAAAATTGAATATCAAAATTCTTTCACATCATTATTATCATTCCAGATCATTGTATCTGATAAAGACAACAGGTTCACAAATATATCTCACCAAATTTTAAAGTTACAGATTCTCGCTCTCTTTTTATTTTTGTGTGTGCGCGCGCACGCACACACACACACACACACACACACACACACACACACACACACACATAATTTCAGATAATTTCAGATAATAGGAAAGAAAGAAAGCTCCTCAATACATCCTATAAGACTAAAATGCATTTGAAACCAAAATCAGGCAAGGACAATATAAGACAATTATAGTCAAAGTTTAATTATGAAGATGGATGTAAAAATCCCAAACAAAATATTAGCATACTGAATAAAGTATAAAAATATACACATCCTGACCAAGTAAAATTTGTTACAGGAGTACAAAGATATGATCAAAGAAGAAAAAACTTAATGATTAATGATTAAATCACTATATTACTAGAAGAAGAGCAATTTTATGGTTACTGTAATAGATATCATAAAAGCACTCAATACAATTAGACACTCATTTATGATAGAAAAAATATATATCTCAGCAAACCAACTTTTAAAATGTATCTGTCAAACCCAAACACAAATACATTGCTTAATAGTAAAATTTTAAAAGCATTTTCATTCAGGTCAAATACAAGAGAAAGATGCCCATTGCAACTGCTTCTATTCAATGTAGTACTTAGGTCAATGCAATAAGGCAATAACAACAACAACAACAATAAAAATCTAAGAGTTGGAGAGAAAGATAAAAATTGTCTTTTATTTCAGACAATACAATTGTCTATGCAGAAAACTTTACAATTATTATGGCTAATCAATTAAAATTAATGAAATTTCAACAAAGTTGTTGCACACAAATAACATTTAGAAGTCAATATTGTTCCTATGTTCCAGGAATTATCAAATAGAAAATGTAACAAAAAATATTTTCACAATAGAAACTAAAATTTTTAAAATGTAAGATACCTAACAAAGATTAGTAATATATTTATAGAAATTTTTTTTTTAAATATTGAAAACTCTTTTAAAGAGTCCTGACTAAATGAAGATTTATACTATGTTCATAGATGGAATATGGAACATGTTCATATATGGAAAGACTCACTATAAAAAATGTCAGCTACATGATCTGATTCATAAATGTCATGTGATTTTAATCAAACCAAATAGAATGTTTCCGAAAACTAATACAAGTATATCTAAGAAAATTTGAAGGACAAAGTTGGAGATTTTCCTGTCTGCTATCAAAGCTAATTATAAAACTATAATCACTAAGCCAGCCTTGCACTGAGTCAAGGATAAACAGATTTATGAAATGGTAATTGAAGTTCCAGCTACTTGGAAAGCTGAAGAGAAGGGATCGCCTGAACCCAGGAGGTTGAGACTGTGGTAGCTGTGAGTGTGCCACTACACACTCAAAAAAAAAAACAAACAAAAAAAAAACGCATTATAAAGAATTCAGCCAAATTAGTGGTGACTGGACATTTGGTTAAAATAGTATAAAGAGATTCCTACATCATACCATATTAGAAATCTATTTTAGATTGATTAAATACTAAAATGCAAAAAACAAAACTTTTAAATATTTAGAATAAAGTATATAGAGAACATTTTTAAACAAATAATTAAAATCTGAGAACTATTAAGATGTTATAATATGAAAAACCTTTTATTTTCTTGGTGACTGTCACTTTTGATAAAAAGCCTTTGTTATTAAAACAAACAAGTAAAAATTTTACTTAAGGGATAACTTGAGTCTTCAGTATGTGGACATTAGATGATAATGCCAAGAGATAGCAAAGGATAAAGGACATTATTCTACAATATAGAGTAATGAAGATAAAGGGTGGTAATGAAAGGAACAAATGAAGATAGAGGCAAAAGAAGTAAGACTAAGGTCAGAAAATTCATTTGTCTGTAAATCTCACTCTAGATAATTATATAAAAACAATTTTTGAGCTGAAGAAACTTATAAATGACCTGGATGAAATTTTTTCTTGAATTCCCAGTTCTGATGCAACTTGAGAGTGAGAGTCAATATTTGATAGAGAGTGCTAAATTTTCATAGGAAGTGGAAAAAGACTTTGACTCTAAATTCATGTTAATTCTTCTAGACGATTCTAAGGGTAAAATTATTTATTGAATTCGATGTTTTAAAATGGCTTAAAACGTCTCTTAATTCAATTCAAAACTTGCATCACAGGTTTGCCCAATCATTTGTTTGATTGACACTTAGGAATTTCATTCTGGGAGGAATAAAAGATGGATTTGGAAATCAAAAGCTTGAAGTGAAAGGTTACCTATTCATTTTTAAAAATTGTTTCACTGATATTCAGAGTAAAGACTAAAATATATAGTGTGAACTAAAATTAATAAATTGTGGAAGAGTTGAAAAATATCCCTTCACTATTCTAAATGTCATTTGGTCAAGCTAAAATTGGAGCAGTTAGAGGTTTAACTATAGCATGTATTTGAGTCCAAACAGGTGTTAAGGCCTACAGAGGGTACTATTTTGTTTACTTCAACAAAGAATTAAATCCTCTTGGTGTATCAATTCAGGAAGCAAATGAAGTAGGATGTATATACTCTTTAATGTACTTCCAAACAGTGACTAAAATCACTGAGTCTTTTCAAGTTCTATAGTCTCTTGCTAACCAAAAACACCTGAAAATAAAGTTTTGATTGCCTGCTCTGATCTTGTATTCTTGTTAATAGAATCTCTTTTTTCTTCTTAATAGGTCACTAGTAGAAAATCCCTTTTATGGTTTAACTTCTTTAATCATTGCAATAGATTTTGTGGTAGATCTCATTTGGTTTCTTTCAAATTTCTAAAATTGAATCATAAGGCCCCCAGGATATATCTTCTGTAAAGACACTTCCTACGTACACATAGCTCAAAATACCAATAGCATCTTAGCTTTTCCAAGAAAGTCTCTTACACTGAGAACTCTGAATTTTGTGAGTCATACAATAATTAGTACTTGGGGAGGCAAATTTATGGAGGCAAATTTGTTGGTGTTATGAATGAGCAAATTGCTTCTACTGTAGCATAAGGTCATGGCAAATTCTGTCCAAACATGATTTTACAAAGAATCAGAATTCAGCAGACAATAGAATGAAGAGAGGATGTCATTTAGTCATGCTTAGAAGATGTTGAGCTTAAAAGTAAAGTCAAGCATCTGCAATACCTACCAATTTCAAAACTGCCATCAATAACTCCCACCAGTGAAGAAGGGATATCAAACCTTCTCTCTATCTGAGTGATGGTGCTCTTCAGATAACCTTCTGCCAATGCTTTGGCAAAGTAAACAAAAGACAAGGCACCCAAGAACACCTGGAAAATATGACAGGCACATTTCATTTGACTCCAGCTTTACACACAATTGGAAACTTGCTAAGCAAACAAACAAAAACACAAACTAAGAACAATGTATAATATCAGGTTTTTTTTTTTGTTGTTATTGAAGATTTAATTAAAGCACCAATACAAGTTTCCTTCAGCCTCTAGCACATGCAGATTTCTGAAAACCCAAATTCTCTTGGAATTTAAAGTGCTCATATGCTGAGTTTCATTCAAAATGTATTTTGAATTCCTTTTTATCCCTTTCTTTCACCCTCCAACAAAGGACACTGCTTTGATACAGCCAGGATCCTTGGCTCAACCTGTAATCCCGTGCTTTGGAGCCCCAGGTGAGTGGATTGGATTGTCTGAGCCCGCGGGTTCAAGACCCACCTGGGCAACTTGGTGAGACCTCATCTCTACAATAAAATATTTTTTTAAAAAATAGCCGGGCGTGGTAGCACGCGCCTGTAGTTCCACTACTTGGAAGGCTGAGGTGGAAGGATCACCGGGGCCCAGCTGGTCGAGACTGTGGTCTGGGCTAGAGAGTGAGACTCCAGTCTGGGCTACAGAGTGAGATTCCAACTCAAAAAAAAACAAAAAAAAACAAAAAAAAGAAAATAGATTCAGTGTATGATGAGACAAAGAGATGAAGGAGCCATTCATAGGTAAAAAACTAAACTCAAATAAAATAAAACTATAAGGCAAACACTTGGCATTTTATCACAAATCTAGCACTTGTGATTACATATTTCACAGTAATGGCGTGTGCTCCAGCAGGGAACATAATATATAGACTGAAAAAATGGAATTACTATTCCATATGTTTAAGTCAACTCATATATTTATTAAATTCATACTCAAATTCTTTCTCAATGAAAACACTTTTGGATATCTTGCTTATGTATTTTTCTAGACACAGGTCTATAATGGAGTATTCGTAAGGCGGGTAAGTGTGTATGCAAAAAACCCCATATTTGTTGGATTAATGTTTGGTATAAATAAAGAGTGGGAACTTGTAGTCACACAAAGCACCATTTAAAAAGCTACTCTTCACCCTCCTGTGTAACTTGATTCCCATTTTTATTTGTAAAATAATTTACTTGTAAAAATGGAGATAATGTAGATGTTTGATAGATTAAATTTTATTTCAGCGCTTGGTACAATTTCTGGTACATAGCAGAAGTTCAATAAGTATTAGTTTCTACTATCTCTCACTTTTCTATTTAAGAGGAGCATTCAGATGAACACAGGAAAGTTATTTAAACTACAAGGTCAGGCAGAGATTGTTTGTACCACATGTAAGGTCTCAGATCACTTTGTTAAAAAGAAAACAATTCTTGTTCTGACTTTATTACATAGAAGATATTTAGATAGAAAGCCAAGAGTATTAACTCCACCTAATTCTTTGTTACTCTACCTTTAGTTCACCACAACATGGTTGCTTTTCCTCTGAAGAAGGATATTCTGTTTTAAAGGAAGGACTTCCAACAGGTTGCACTGAAGTTTTGCAGAATAACTGAATATTTTCTTTGGATGAAGTATCCATTATAAAAATGTTCCTTGACTTTGATCTGTCAAAGTTGATTTTAGAAGAAAATAATAATAATTATTATTCAATAATGTACAATTTATTAAATAATGTTTTTATTCAACAGTGGTCCACAATTCTGTAGTCATAATTTAAAGTGAAGCTACTTTTTGCTACCACAGTAAGTTGGCAAATATTTCAACTAAAATCAACCAGGATATTTGATGAAGTAATCCTGCTGTTGGGACTCTGTAGCCAGAATTCTTTCTCAATTTCTCCAGTTTAAGCTTCATTATGGCAAAGAAAAATTTAAATGTTGCCTTTGGAATAAATAACAAGACAGAATTTTGCTAACTTTGTGAACTTGCCAGCTTAAACTAGAAGTAAGTAGGAAAGTAAGGAGAGGAATTCAAGCATTTGAATATTTATTCATTAGAATTAAGTCTTTAAAACCTTTAAATCTATCTTCCTAGCAAAATAAATAGAAAAGGTTTACACCCATCATAGATTTTTAAAGCATTTTATAATTCCTGAAGCATCCAAAGTGAGGTTTAAAATATGACACAGAAAAAGAGATCCAATTTGTGTAACATTTTAGTTTGAAAAATAAGGAAGTAGCATCATTTGTACTTCAGGCTTATATTTAATTCAAGTGAAAGGACAATGCTGGCATTCCTTTCTGCCTATGCCTAATTTTCCACCTCCCCTCACTCTTTTGTCCTGACCAAACATATTTTCTCCCTGTTCACATCAATATTTACATATCCTATGACCCTACTTCTTTAGGATGCCACCTGGCTCAGTACCTGCCTGATAATGTAATCTAAGTCAGGGGATTTCAAAAATGATATAACTTCCGGATACACCTAATATTATCAGGTGACACAATTTTACATTAATACAGATCTTCTATATCAATTTATCACTAACTAAAAGAATAACACTAGGAGTAAAATTTTAGGTACCATGGTAGAAATTTAGGCTAATTCTGCCAATGTCTACACTATCTTGACTTTATGCAATGCTTTTTCTGTGTTTACTAAACCTCAACCTCCATAGTTCGAATTCACAGATACTATCTTAAACTGAAGAATCAAGTAATAGCATAAACATTTTGTTTTGAAATATAAAGTCAAATAACATAAGGCCTAGACAATTTAAACGTTAAGTATTCCTTCGGGGAGTGGAAAATGAGTAAAGAAAAGGGAGAATAAGGGCCTTTAAAAAATTATTATTAGGCATGAATATTGTTTAATTTTATAAACACTCATAATTTATTTTTTTAATGGACAAAGTAAATAAAAGAGAGTGAAAAAAATGTAAAAACCAAATAAGTAAACAAGCCAGAGCTAATAATATTAATCCAGATCAAAATCAAAGATACAGGGATATAATATTAATAGAATAAAAACACAGATGTTTAGGAGTATAAACCATAAAAATTATATGCAACATACAGAAATAACTTTAAAATCTTGACAAAATGGATAACTTTTTAGCAAATGTTAATTAGCTGTAATTATACAAGCCAGAAGAGAAAAATTGCCAAGAAAGACATTGTCAAAAACACTCTCTAACTATCCCCTGAACAAAGCCACTAAGGATAAATGATGTAAAAGGAATGCCTTATCAAGGGATATTCTTTAAGGACAGATAGCAGATAATGGAAATAAATGATCATTGTCTTCATTCATTTGACAAAACTAAAATTATCTTGATAACAAAATCTCACAAAGATAGCACAAAAAGAAAAACATCAGATCAAGTCTATAGGTTATCAAATTCTAAATAAAATACTAGCAAATTCAAATTAATTAATATTATGATATTAATTAATATAATATATAGTAATGTCATAATTAGTATTATTCTAAAAGATGCAACAATAAATTAGTACTGGGAACTTTATTCACCTAAATTATCACATAAAGTCTTCAAACTTAAAAATAATAAGCTCATGCCTGTAGTTCCAGCTACTTGGAAGGCTGAGGCGGAAGGATCGCCAGAGCCCAGCAGGTCGATGCTGTGTTGGCCGGGAGCGGCCACTGCACTCCAGTGTGGGCGACAGAATGAGAATCCAACTCAATAATAATAATAATAATATTTCAGTAGACGGAAAACATCAGGTGATAAAATTCAACATCCATTCCTGATTTGAAAACAAAAATTAAACAAAAAAAAGATATTTATTTACCAGCATCTCGTATCAACAGCCAACTTCAGAGATCCACTGAACCACTAAGACTACTTTTCCAGAATAATATTTTGCCACCACAATAAAAAAGGGGTTTGGGAAATACTGGGTTGTAGAATGTTAAATAGATTTCTTCTTTTTTTTTTTTTAATTGGAGTCTCACTCCATCGCCCAGACTGGAGTGCAGTGGCCGCTCCCGACCACCGCAGCCTCGCCTGCTGGGCCCCGGCGATCCTTCCGCCTCAGCCTTCCGAGTAGCCGGAATTACAGGCGCGCGTTACCACACCCGGCTGATTTTTTGATTTATTGTAGAGATGAGGTCTCTCCAAGTTGCCCAGGCGAGTCTTGAACCCGCAGTCTCAGGCAATCCACTCACCTCAGCCTCCCAAGGCGCCGGATTACAGGCTGAGCGACCGAGCCCGGCTTAAATAGATGTCTTTACTACAAAACTACTGAGTACCTTTAATTGAACTCCTAGGGAGACCAATTGCTTAAAAAAAAATCAAAACAAAACGACCTAAATGTCTAGCAAATTATAGTATATTAATGTAATGCAATGTTTTAAAACCATTGGAGATTGTGTAAACAAGTAAATATAGTTATATAGATCTATGTTGATTATAGAGTTGATTTTTATTTTTGAAATATATTCCACAAAAGAGTCTATATAATAAGCTATTTTATAAAAGCAACATACATGTATTCACATATGCATATGTATAGAGACAAAGCTTCAAAAAATTATAAACAAAAGATAACACATTTCTAGTTGGTAGTATTGCAAATGATTTTTTAATCTTTGTGTTTCCATATTTTCTAATTTTTCTGAAATGAACATGTATTACTTATACAAAACATATTTTTAAGTATTAAAAATGTCACCAGGCAATGAATACATAAACCATAAAGACTTTAAAATACAAACAAATAATATTAACTTTACAGCTTAATATGCAATCTGTTTTCTAAAAAATAAAGTATATAATTCAAATAGGCCTTCTGTTTTAGGGGTTCAGATGTCTCATTATTTCTTATCACTTATAATGCAAAACCAATGATCAGAAAATGCAAATAAATTGTCCAATAATAAAATATGCTATAATTGATCCTAAAATTTATCTTAAAAGATTCAAAGGGCTACATCTAGAATGCAATGTTAAAAAGATAATCATATTAATATTTTAAAACCTGAGACACTAAAACACATTTTGAGTCTTCTTAATTTGGAGGTGCTGACACAAATATCGTTCTAATTGGATTCAGCAGTGTTCACAAAAAATAACTACAGTAATCTTAGTTGATATTGTGTTAGGGCAAACTAATATCCAGCTTAAAATATTGACACTGCATAAATGTACTGAAAACATAATTTTATGTTGACGGCTAATGTAAATCACTGCAAGTATAGCATGTTCCAAGGAGGCTACAGTTCATTGTGAAAAGGAAGAAGGAAGCTCAAAGATATGAATGGAAAGATCCTTGGGGCATGTGGGCTCTCTCTCTTCATTTGCAACTGCAGAAGTAGAGCAAGAGCACACAGTTATTCAGAAGGATTTGTACTTGGCAAATCCTTAATTGATCTCCAGCCATTTGAATTGATTCTTCCAGGAAAAGACATATGACAAAGTTTCATTCAATACATTGGGTTAGCGTATAATTTATTTTGGAAACCAAAGGAAAACAAACCAAACAGTTTTAAAATTTATTAGCGCTCCAAAAAGGTGAATTATATGTTCAGATGGATTTGAAAATCAATCCTTAGTCTAAATGCAGAGTGCAGGTGCCTTAAGAAGGTTGTAGTTAGGTCGCTCAGATGCACTCAACCCCTGTGTCTGAAACAGTGAATAGGACTTTATCCTGCAGTCAGTTCCAAGGACCACTGCAGAGAAAGTCCTTAAAGGCAGCCAGTCCCCTCCTTCTTTTCTCTTAGTCATCTCCCATGAGGGAAACCTCTGTCCTAGCTTGACTTCTGGACACCAGGAGGCTTTCCTTCAGATGAACTAAAAAATAACCTCAGGGTACTTGATGAGAAGGAGTTTATGTTCTTTGGAAACTAATACCTTCCTCATACAAATAATTATTTGTGTCAGATTCATATTTAATAAGTACTATTTTGGTGCCAGGAAATGTGTGTACTTTTTTATCCTGAAACAATCCAACCAGTTTAGTATTATCGTTCCCATTTTTAAAATGTATGACTCAAAGCAGTTAAGTGACTTGTCAAAAGCTACCTAGCTAATAAGTTTTTCAGTCAAAATTTGAACTCAGATTTGAGTTTATCTGACTTATTTAAAAAGTCTTCTCTCCTGTTTCCACCAAACTAACAAAAGAGGTCCATCAACTTTCATTGAGATTGTTATGGATAAAATACAAGTAGTGCAAAAATTAAGGGCTTATTAACTTCTTTCCTGAGAGAATCAGGCATACTAGTCACAAAATACAAAAAAAGAAAACCAAATCTTACCTGGAGGTAGAGATCAAAGATAGTCAGTTCCAGTCAATGTGCTCACTAAGAGGCCAAGCCACACGCCACAGACTGAAAGAGGAAACTGAGGCAAATTCCAGAGCAATTTTGAACAATTTTGCCAGGTAGGAAGAGCTTGAGTGAACACAGAGCAGATTATGGGAAAGAAAAGATGAGGGACATGGTCTCACCCCTGGGCAGTCTCTTTTCTTTCCTCTTTCCTCCTGGCCTCTTTTTTCTGGCAGTCTGCAGAGAATTGGCCACGCTGGCAAGGCCACTGACGTGAATCTCAGCTCCCAGGGCACAGAAAGAGCTGAAGCCTTTGAGCCATTTCTTTGCAATTTGCTGCAAGTTTAAGGCCACACGTGATAAAGCTTTCTTTATGGGAGAGAGTGAAAAAAGAAAAGACCACTTGTGATCTTACTTGCTGATTCCCAGAAAACACAACTCTGCAGGGGGCAGAGGGTAAGGGAACAGAAGCCAGAGGAGGGACGGAAGTTTGTAACAAAGACCCCTCCTTCTCCTTCCAAAAAGTTTTTAAGCCAATTGTTCCTCAGGGACATCACTGGGATCCTTGTGTTTTTGTTTGTTTGTTTTTGTTTTTGCTTTGTTTTGTTTTTGAAAAAAGTTTCTTGGGCTAAATTACTGCATGGTTTTCTTTTCTGACCAAATATTAGGTCAGAATCAAAATTCTGCAGAGCTACAGAAACAGTTAATTCTTAGAGATACGATCAATTTTTCATATCCATAATTTCTGAGTCTTGAAAACAGAAAAAGAAGGAAAATACATTGAATTTTTGGCATTCAATTATTTCTTCTACCCAATTCTAAGGAAAAAAGAAATCCCTGCACTAAGAAATTCTATAATTCTAAAAAAGAAAAAAAATTCCAAGATAACAATTTTAGAGGATTCTGAACAGTATTCACTTACATTTGATTCCAACCAATAAATGAATTTGCTACCAGAATGACCCAAGATTCTCCCTGTTCTTAAATGGCTGAGACCCTGGGCTGGTCACTTAATTTTGATGAGTCTCAACTTTATCCTTTGTGAAACAGATTTTGTTTTGTTAAGAAAAAAACAAAAATAGATGTACAGAGTTGTTTTAAAGATTAAATTATATCATACATTTAAAAGCATATTGCAAATAAAGCACTAAATGACTTGATGGTAACACATCACATTACATATATGATTTCAGTTCACATAATGGTCAGGATAGTTAATCAACATTATTAAAATCACATTTTGCTACAAAAGGAAAAAAAGAGATTGTAGGAAATGTAAGGTTTATCTTAAACCTTACAATGAAGCAATGGTATATCCAGATACTGAAAGACCAAATATTTTATTTCAGCAATCAATCAGTCTTTGTCATCAGAAATAGTGAGTAAACATCATAATACTGTAAGTGTTAGACTTTTCAGTGTCTAACAGGTGGTTATTGGCGCAATAAAGGGAAGATAGTATTATCCAGCTGAAAGCTTAAAGGGCCTACTTTTCCTCACCAAGAAATGCAATTCTCCCCTGAGAATGTAATTTGGTCTATTCTCAACTTGCTCAAATTCACTCCCTGACATGATTTCTTTGCTTATTCTCACAGTCCACAGTGAATGTTACCATTTTGAATGTACATATTATAGAATGTTACAAAATATTCATAGCCTCTTATATATGTAAAACCTTTCACTGGGTTGTAGACTACCACAGTCTCTCATTCCCATTTTCATAGTCCTGACCAACTTTTTCTATAAAGGTACAAATGATAAATATTTTAGGTTTTGCAGTACCATACAATCTCTATCACAGCCACTCAGCTCTGTCATTATGATGTGAAATTAACCATAGATGATATATAAATGCTGCAGTGACAAAGTACCACAAGCTGAGTGGCTTAAACAACAAAGTTTTATTGTCTCACATGAGTCCAAAATCAAGGTGTGAGTAGAAAATCATATAGGATAATTCTTCCTTGCCTTTTTTGCTTCTAGTGTTTGCTAATAACCCTTGGAATTCCTTGTTTTATAGGTGCATCACTCCGGTCTCTGCCTCCCTTATCATATGACTTTGTCTTTGTCTCCTCATTTTAAAAATGCACTAGTCATTTAAAATTAGAGCCCACCCCAATGATCTCTTAACTTGATTACCTATTTTCAAAAAGGTCATATTCACAGGTATAGAGGCTGAGACTTCCATATAACTTTTGGGGGAACATAATTTAACCCTTAACACTCATATTCTTATTTTCCCACCTTACGTGATTTGCTTAACACCATTATTTTAATCTTGTCCTTTTGTATACCCTCAATTTTCCTGTTCCTCTTTCAGTTTTTCGTTCTTCCCTGGCAAACCTCACATGGGTTGAATCCAACTTTCTGTCTCCTTAGTGTTTGCATCCATGTTGCTTTAAATGGTTGAAGAATAGCTCACTAATGTGCCCTCAGTGCTTATTTTATGTTTATAACCTCTAACCACAATGGACCGTAAAGCCATTATTAGACATAATACCTTTTAATGACCTAATCACTTCACCTCTCTCCTGAATAATTTTCCAAAATTTTATTTCTTCCTGGGCCCTCATTACTAGCTGAAGATCTTATTTTGAGAATTCACTAATGAAATAGAAAAAAATCAGGAGAAATATCACGATCTGCTTTCAGGACATTTACTCTCCATCTACACATGGATTCATATGATCTTTCTTCATGCTTCTCTGGATGAACAGCCCATACATCTAAGCCCAAGTCTTAGTCTAGGTTCCTTAACTGAAATTTCTTTCCTCCCATTCTTTTTTCACCAACTTTTTTTTTTTTTTTTTTTTTTTTTGAGTTGGAATCTCACTCTGTTGCCCAGACTGGACTGCAGTGGCCGCTCCCAGTCACCGCAGCCTCGACCTGCTGTGCTCCGGCGATCCTTCCGCTTCAGCCTTCCAAGTAGCCGGAATTACAGGCGCGCGCTACCACGCCCACCTAATTTTTTTATTTTATTGTGGAGATGATGTCTCGCCTGCCCAGGCGGGTCTCGAATCCACGGGCTCAGGCAATCCACTCACCTCAGCCTCCCAAAGGCTGATTACAGCCTGAGCCACCGAGCCCGGCTTTTTTCACCAACTTTAATCAGTTTTTGCCCCCATCACTCCACTGCAAATATTGTCATCAAAAAACTTCAAAGACATTCACAGTATTAAATCCAGTGGTCAATGTCTAGACCTAATGTCAACTGATCTATTAACAAAATTGTTTACCATTGATGTGTCCTTCTCTTTAATTTTATTTTTCACTTGGTTTTCAGAACACCACACTGCTTTAGTTTTCCTCCAATCTCAGCGGTCATTTGCTTTCAGTCTTCATTGTTGGAATACCCCACAATTTGGTCTTTGGAATATCTTCCTTTGCTCTATCTACATTTGCTCCCTTGATGACCTCATCTGGTCTTTAAATATCATCTATAATATAAAAATCCATGAGATTAAGGAAAACTTTATAGTCTGAAATTTGAATTAAGCGTTTTTCAGCCTGGAAAAATATATACAAGAAAGGACTCCAAAAAAAAAAACCCAAAAAACCCAGATTTATTTCTTGGGTAGACCCTTAAAACACACTTGGGATTTCTTCTCTGGATCAAATGGTCAACCAAAGTTTTCATCTGGATGTTTTTACAAGATTGCATCACAATTTGTAGAAGAAACATCCTGAATTGTGGAAAACAGGTGACTGGGGCTTCCACCATGACAATGCACCTGCCCATACTGCACTGGGTGTGCAGCAGTTTGTGACCAAAAAACGACATGACTTCCATGCTCCACCCCTCCTACTCACTCGCTCTTGCTCCTCTAACCACCTTTATTTCTTTTTGCTGTTGTTTTGTTCTGTCGTTGTTGTTGCTTCCCCAGAAGAAAAAAAGCCCCCGAAGGGAAATGTTTTACCAATGTAGAAGAGGTGAATCAAAAAATGGTAGAAGCACTAAAAGGCATTGAAATTGACAAGTTCAAAAGCTGTTTTGAGTAGTGGAAAAAGCATCTCTATGGGTGTATTGCATCAAACGAATAGTACTTTGAAGGAAACTGAAGTTTAAACCTGTAAGAATAAATACACAATTTTTTGTAAATAAATTCTACTTTTTGGAGTGTTGGGAGAAAAAAAAATATATATATATACACTGAATCTATATGCATATCTCCTAGGTCTGTCTACTAAAAGTGTCTAGAAACAATGACAAACTAAGTAACAACGAGTTCAACTAGCACTAAATTTGGGTCTATAAACACCATAAATAAAGATAGCTGTAGTAGTGAGGAGAACAGTTCCTACTTTCACCTCTTAATTCCAATATTCACATAGTCTGACTGTAAGACAAGCAGCAACATATGTTGGTAGAAGGTTAAGTGTATGAATTGCATTGTACCAAATTGCACCCAAATCTCACAGAGGTTAGTTGGCACTCTAACTTGATTTTCAATAGGATGCTCCAGCATTCTTTTTTTTTTTTTTTTTGAGTCAGTTTCATCCAGGTTGGAGTGCAGTGGCATGCTCATGGCCACCACAACCTTGACCTACTGGGCTCAGGTGATCCTTCTTCCTCCACTTTTCAAGTAGCTGGAACCACAGGCACATGCCACCACGCCCAGCTAACTTTTTTGGCTTATTGTAGAGATGAGGTCTTGCCAAGTTACCCAGGCTGGTCACTATTCCGGCATTCTTAAGAATGGATCTTCCCTGCTTTCCCCAGTGCCTTTACTGACTTTTGAAAATGAACCACCAATTTCACTATGAGCATGAACTTCCATTATGTGGGACAACCGTGTGGTCCATATGCCTTTATTATCTTCATTGTGCTACTCATCCTTTTCTTGAATTGTGGAAGACAGAATTATAGCTCCCAAGGATATCCACATCCTAACTTTTCATATATAAGGGGAGATGTTAAACTAGGGAGATCATCATGGATTATTTGGCCCAATATAATCACATGAGCCCTTAAAAACAGAGAACTTTCTTCAGCTAGAGATGGAAGAGATGTGTCAGAAGTCAGAATGTCTGAAGGTGTGAGAAGGAATCATGTGCCACTGCTTGTTTGGAAGTCGAAAGGCGAAGAAGGAATACCAGGAGGAATACAGGTGGCTTAAAAAGCTGAAAGAGTGCCAGCACCAGCACTATTTCCGCAAGGAATTGTTTTCTGCCAACAATCCTAGTGAGCTTTGAAATGGATTCTTCAGTGAAGAACCTGGCTGGTAAACACCTTGATTTCAGTTTTTTGAGATTTCCAAACTAGGGAACCTAGCCAAGCTCAGACTTCTGATCCACAGAGCTATGAACTAATACATTTATTTTTCTAAAGTCACATTTGTGGTAATTTATCATGGAAAAAATGGAAAACTCATATATCATCTTTAGTTACTTCAA